ATTCGTGTTCGGCTCGTTAACTTAGCTGTGGTGATTGCGGGGTTTTGCAACGATTTCACGAACAACGGACCGTTTTGACAGCCCTATGTCTAACACGTGTAGGAGACGTGTTCATTTCTGCCCGTCATTACGCGATTCCTTAACTACCGACAATAAAACAAGAGAAATAAAAATATTATTAATAAAAAAATATTTATTTTCCCCATTTTTACAATAAATTTTGCCAAACAAAAGAAAAATATCGATTCAGTAACATGAAATTGACGGCAATCATATACATATACACAATAAATGTGCTTTATGCGACAATCAAAATGGTAATAAACAAACAATTATAGCAGAGAGAGAGGATTCAGCATAGAAAACCAATTCATATATAGGAATGATTAGAAAGCTTATATCCAGAGGCCAAGGCGGAGATAGCAAGCGCTAAGAAAGCGAAGAAGGCCATGCTGATGGAAGCAGAGGATGCGTCGGTGAACAAGTTGTCAGCACCCTCTCGCATGCGGTTGGTCATTGGAATGGCCGCAGACAATGCTGAGATCATCATATATGCGGCCACCTGAAATAAATTTTTTATTGCAATAAAATGACCATATTAAGGTTATGCTTTGATCGATTAGTTGGAACATTTTGGTCTATTCGCAGCACTACTAACCATGCATCATTAAAGATGGAATGGTAAACAATGAAGGGACACAGAAAAAATATTACATCAGTCCTAAGCATGTGGAATAATGTGCGTAGTCAATAAAATCAAGTCAGGACACCCCACACGAAAGAAAAAAAAAAATGGCGCAGTAACACGGAGAATATTCCCCTCATATTATTCATGTGTTATTGTATGTTATTCATGTGTTATTGTGTCATGAGAATATTCTTGTGTTATAATAACACAATAACGCATCAATAACATATGAATAACACACAATAACACCAGAATAACATGGGGGAATATTCCTCTGTGTTACCGTGCAGTTTTTTACTCTGTCAGGAATATTCCCTGTGTTATTCTGGTGTTATTATGTCTTATTCATGCGTTATTATGTCCTGAGAATATTCTTGGTGTTATAATAACACAATAACACATCAGTAACATATGAATAACACACAATAACACATGAATAACATAAGGGGAATATTCCCCGTGTTACTGCGCCATTTTTTTTTCTGCCATGTGGGGTGTCGTGACATGATTTTATTGACTACGCACGTTACTATACATTCGTAATACTAATGTAAAATTTTTTCAGGGACACAAGGTTGAATGATAATTGTCCATTAAATTGAGACAAAATATTTCATATGTGAAAATCTATGATGCGAAGGTATTTCTAATCAAGGAGCATTGCATTGTCCTATTCGTATCGAACACGGACACAACTCTTCGACAAAAAAAATGTTTGATTTTAATATGTGCCCCCCTAAATTAATGAATTTAATGTTCTGAAAACAATATTTTAAGACTAAAACCAAAAAAAAAAAAATTTATGTAAATTTAAGGAGGATTTACGAACATACCGCTCAGTTTTTATGTATTTACACACTAACATGTAATTTCAAAGATTATATATATGTCCCCATGTCATATATATGAAAAGTGGTATATCACTTTTTATAAGTAAAAATTATATTATATTAGATGTGATGTGAAAGATTTGGGTGAAGTAAATATAAAAATCAAAACATGTTTTTTAAAATTATTTATTTATATTTTTTATTAATGTTTTGATTTAAATTAAAACATGTTTGATTAAGATAATTATTTTTAAAAGTACTCAAAAAAAACATTTTATTCTGATTATTTTTAAGAACAATTTGATCTCATTTTAAAAATAAAAAATGAAAAATATTAAAATTATATCAACAATAACTACAAACAAAATGATGTCAAACGAACTCTTAATTTTTAAAATTGATACTACTAAATTTTTTAGTTTTTCTTTAGCATTATCAGTAAAATTATATTATATTATATAATTTTAAGCCGTGACCTTTTGGTTGGCAGCTATGAAGTCAGTCGTGAGTCCTCTTCGCTCACATGTTTGAGTCCACCTGAATGTATCTGTCTTGCAGTGCGGATCAAGTGGTAGACACACGAGTGTAGTTGGGGGCTCGTTTAATAGCCTCTGATCATTATATATATATAATATATATATATATAACTCAAAAAATATGTTGATTTTTAACCACAAGGAATCAAATAATCAATCTAAAAAGTTTCCCAACTTTTCAAAAAGGTTCTCTTTGAAGTTCTTGCAGTAAAGTTCAAACATTTTACTATAATTATTTTCCCTTCAAGGAAATATTCCTTTATTTGCACGAATATTAAAGCCTAACTTCATACTAGTTATATTATCAAATGAAAATGTATCACGGCTTATACTTCCTCTAAACAACTAAAATACAATTCATGATAAGAACTACTCCTATTTATCAATTTCAAAAGCACAAAAGACAGAGTAATAAGAAACTAAAATACAATATGCAGCATATTCTCCACAAACAGGAGAAATTACAATAATTAATGAAAACATTTCGATAATTATTAAAAATATATAATAATATTTCACATGTTAATAAAATAGTTTTAACAAATATAACATTCACTTTAATCTCATGATGCTATAGCATGAACATCAAAAGCAATGAGGTACTAGGTTAAGTATTGGAAAAAATATTACCTCAGCAATACTGATGCATCAGTACTCCAATGAGGATGTGTCACATATGCAATGGTTCCACCATAATGCCACGTGACACCCCCCCATTGGAGTACTCCTGAGGTAATATTTTTTCTAAGCATTGCGTATTCTAAAATTTAAGATTTTTGAATAAATAATTAAAAAGTTAATATTTCTTTCTATATAATTTAGACATTTTAATATTTTTTACCCACTTTTCAACAAATTGTTTTGCTCAGTAACTTAAAATATTTTAATATTTAATAATTTTATTGACACTTGAGAATGAAGTTGGTTCCCCTCTCAATGAAAAGTTTGTATATAGTTGGAAAATAATTGAGAGTCTGTTTCGGGCAGCTCTAGTTTATTAAAAAAACAATTGTGAATCTCATAAAAATAATCTTTTGTTCAAAGAAATGTAGTGACTATTATAATTTTTTTTTTTTTTTGAAAAAGTTAGATCGCAGCTAGAAAGCTGCTATCGTATTTAGCAAGGACCGGAAGGAAAACATGGATTTTAGTTGTAATTTTTTGAAAAAACTGCCAAAACTCAATTCACCCAAACAAATAAAACTGCGGTGAGACACCACAATGTCGCCCCAAAAATGACCTTAACAAATCTAAGCGGATAACTATTTAATAGTTTTTATAAAATTGTGGATCTGAGCCAACCAATGCGAGAAAGAGAATTTGGAAACAGAGAACAATCGAAATGTTGGCAAGAGGAAAAAAATATTACTTCCTAACCTCTGACACGTCTGGACGGCCAACCGTCGGGCGCCATGCTGCCCGACTCCAACGTGTATGGCGACCTAGTATCCAACGGTTGACCGTCTGACGTGCGATGTCCGAACATAATATTTTCTAGTTTCTTAAGACCTAAAGCATTCTCTCTTTAACAGTTTTCTAATAACTGGTAATTTTTAAAGGGGCAATATTCCATACAATTGATGACCTTTATTAAAAAATATGAAACAGGTTCTTTAACTATTCAATATTATAGAATTAGATTCAGAAGCACTTCTTATATGTGAAAATCATCCCGGTTGTCTCGTTGCCACTCAACTAATCCAAAATTATCTTAATAAAAAAATAATTAAAAACTGCAATCAGAATTTGGTGAGGAAAAACAAGACCGACACAAAGATTATGATGTCAGGATGAAGCCACCCAAAAACACGATTGATGCTTCAAATCAATCAGACAAGACAATCATCAGATGATATCATCCACCTTTCCAATGCCCTTATACTTCTAATACGCCATTAGAGAGAAGATAAAACCATTCGAAGAAAGGATATAACAGAATTTAACAAACTTTTGATCGAATTCTGACCTGATCTGCGGCGAAATCGAAAATCGTGCCAGCCCTAGCGGGCATCAAATCACGGCCCGTGCTGAGACGGTGAACCTGCCGAATCAGCTGGGCCGACGAGTACAGAAACACCAGAATCGATATCGCCAATAGATATCTGAGATCAAACAAGACCGATCAATCATCAACCTCTAACTCAGATCTCCATCGAGATCCATTGTTGAAAACCAGCCGACTCACCTGTATTCCTCGTAGCGATCGAAGTTCATCCAGTCGCCGTGCTTGTTAGAAGCCATAAGGACGAAAGAAAGCAGGGAGAAGAGAAATTGAAGCGCGCGAAGAAGCAATTCCCCCTTCTTACGGAAGTCCTCCCTCTTCCATCGCTGCACCACGGATGCGATGGCTGCGTCGCCATCTGTGGTCGGCCGCGGGTGCTGTTCCTCGACATCTTGAGCTCTATGAGCCTTTTGCTCCCCCGGAGGATCAATCCCCTGCTTGCTGGTGCCGTTATTGGCGACCGCCATTGATGGGTCTCGTGGAGGTTAATGGTTGCCGGCCAAGGAAGGAATGGGAATGGAAGATGTTTCCGGAAGGGGCTATCTATATATATACACACGCGTTGAAGAGGCGATTGAGGCGCCCCTTTGAGGGAAGAAAATTCATTATGATCTTTGCATAGATTTTATTTTCTTTTTTTTTTTAAAAAAAATTGTTTTTAATTTTCACCAAATTAAGTTATTTTCTAAATTTTAGAAGATTTACATATGACAATATGATTATGTACGTAAAATATGTGTCAGCGTGGATTTTAAGAAAATCTAATAGTCGCAATAGGGAAATTACAACAAATGAGTGCCCGTAAAGAGAAGATTAGGCGACCCACTTATATGATTGGATGTAGCCGTCTCGGCCAAAACCGAACGCTGATTGAGCTAGGGGAAGGACAAAAAGAACATCTGAATGATCTGAATCCGAATGAATCAGACTCAAACAAAGGCAGATAAGCATTCGAGTTTATCACAACAAGAAAGTTGACCGAAGGCATCGACCTACATTCGGGTGATTCGGACTTGAGGGAAGAATTCAAATCCTCATTATTACCAAACGTCCTACAAATACTCCAGAGGCTCTTTGTTAAGGACTAAAAAATAGTGATACAACAGTGACACGTGATCATCTCATAAGTTCTCCTTGTAGAGAAATGAGCTACTTATTAGCTTACGATGATTCACCATTTGCGTGATAGCCAAATATCGCTCTGTTGACAGGAGCTCCTCATCCTTCCAGGGATCAAGAGTCGACAACCAGACTAGATCAACTGATCAACAACCCCACGTTTTACCATTCATTATTGTTCATTCAGCTCTCTCTCTCTCTCTTCTTTCTTATGCTCTATTTCATGGATGTGATTTACAGACTAACTAGGATTCAACAAATTGTGAGACAAAAATTGACCTTAAAAATTAGGAGCATTTACTTAGACTTTACTTTTTATATTCATGCCACTCAAATCTTTTATATCACATAAAATAATCATTGTATGTTTTAACTTTTAAAATGTCAGATACATATTTTCATGTATAACTAAGATGGTATTTATATAAAAATGAAAGTGTAGGTCTTAGACATATAAAAAACAAGTAGTGAGATAAATATATACATAAGAATTGGAAGATATGTATGTAGATCTTCCAAAATAATAATGATGAGATTAATTTGGTTATAATAGATTTTAAAAGCTCAAGAATTTTTGTAAGATGAGTGTAATAAGTTATTTAAGCGATTATTCATGTGTTTTACTAATTGCAAAGCAACTTAAAATATCATTATAATCTTCTTGTTGAGTTGATCTAAAATCCAAGTCTTGCCGATTTAAGGCGAATCGATGAAGGTTGTTTAGTTGTTGATGTCTGTTGGCTCGTGATCTCTTCAAATATGCTCAGAATGTTTTTATATTCATCACATGTATGAGATACTCTTATGTTTCTCAAGTTCGTAGGCTTTCATTGATATACAATGTACAAACACCCCTTTTGTAATTTGTTCAACTTGGATGAATTTTAAGTTTAATATTTGCTTATAACCTCATAGCCTTGTTGTCATGTGTTCGATCAAACATCCCCATGCTCACCTCCTAGCCATTGAATCGCTATCAACTGACTGCCATCTCCTGCAATGAAATTTTATAATCAGTTATCTTCACCAAACTGATGTTTTCTTACTTCTGTCATTTGTCTATCATTATTCAATTATCATTATTTGATCACTATCATGTGATTCTTATTATACAATCATCGTTGCTCAACCATCATCTTCACACTATCATCATTCAACTACCAGTATTTAATGAACTTCATTGCCATCCATAATTTCAATAATAATCTTAAGAGGTATCAATCTAAACTCCACACATTAATATATTAAACCCAAAATCTATGGTATCAAGCACCAATCATCTCAAAATGATTTAATCAAAGACCGATCAACCCAAAATCTCTAAGATGGCCTCCTCCATTTATAGGTCTAGTTTAACTCCACCTACAAGTGGATATATAAAAGGATACATCGAATGAGAAACATAATTTATAATATAACACTATTATATAGTTATGTATGTAAAGCATGCATCTGGGAAAGAAATGTTTGTAGACTATATAGCAAGTTGATGAAATAAGTCAGACTTGTCTCATTAATCTGTTAAATGAATCGAATTTGACTTATCGAATTCATTGAGATGTTGATTGAGCCAATATTTAGTTTATTGTACAACTGAATTAGTTGAATTTGATCGAGTGACTCTGCCAAACTGTATGGCAGTGCGAATTTCAATCACGTACATGAAGCTGTACTCGTACTGCTTAATTCCTAGTGTTTCCATTGTTCTCGTACTGCTTAATTCCTTTCCATGTGGTTCTCTTTTACTTTTCTATAGAGTCAAACCCCCAAGAGAGGGTCAATTCAACTAATATGTTGAGTTGACCATATCTTTGTGCAATTACACACAGACCATCCGAAACTTGCTATTTACAAATCAACCAATTTCTTTCATAAAATTTTTCAAATTCTCACTCAAATATCTAAATTCTTGAAAAAACCGACCAATTTTCATTTTTTATCAAATTCTCAGTAGTTTTTTTTTTATCATGGCTTCTGTAAATTCATCGGTTTGACAGTTCAAAAAAATCAAATGGGCGGTTAATTTTCAAACAACAATGTTTTGGGGGGTTTGTATGCAATTATCCCAATTTTTAATTAAGATAGAGAGGCTATTCTTCTCATTGCATTTTCACCATAACATCCATATTGTATAGTTTACCAATAAACAATATAGAAATTACATGAAAATAAACTTTTTATAGTTATTTCTAAATTTTGTCTTTTTATAAAATTAAAAATTAAGAATCCCTAATTTGTGTCTCTCTTGGTAGGAAGTGAAAAAAAAATTGTTTTCTAATCGCCTATGAAAATTATTTAAGTAATTCCATTTTTCTTGGAACATTTATGCTTTGCAATGGTTGTAATTTGTGCTAATGCTTGTTATACTTATAAAATTGTTCAAAAAGCTTGTAACTTATAGCAAATTTTCATCATTTTTCCGAAAAATATGTAGTTTTTGCCTATAGATATATACCTTCTAATAAATTTTGGAAGATTTACATGCATGCCGCGCAATTCCTATGTATTTATATATCTAATTTCTAAATTTCAGTTGTTATATGCTTTCCAGGCAAGCCGACCAAGATGTGTGAGCAAGACTCTCAAGATAATCTAACGATCAAGATCAAAGAAAATATGATAAACCCCATTAGAAAAAGCTACAAGTCCTTATGAATTTGACCGGCTGAAGACCACCAGATTCACTGATAGCCAGCCGACTGAAGGGTTGTCAGCAAATTGGGGGGCTATCAACTGAAGGTTAAACAACTAAAGGGCCACCCAAGCTAACGCGTGGCAGAGATTCACACAGATCCCTTTAAAATAAATGATCAACTGAAGGTCTAACACCCCAAACAATCTAATAAGTATTAATGTGAAGCTCTTTCAAGAGCTCCCCCAAAGATCATCAAAGATCACCAAATTAAAGATCACCAAAGAATACAGCCATACAAGTCGAACAGCCGTCTATCTACCATACTCAAAATTCGATTGACTTCATATTCAACAGCTGAACGTTCACCCAATAAAGAGTTGACCCAAACTAACTCAATCAGCCGACCCAAGGACCTGTCGAGCATAAGGTCTAGGCACACAGAAAGGCTATGATACCCTTTATAAACCCTCTAAAGTAAAGGAAAAACATATAATATTACATTTTTTCCCTCTCTGTTCTATAAATAGGAAAACCATATCTTGTATTAAAAACTTTTTGGCTCTTCTCCTCAGACCCTTTTTTTGTAGGGGGAACTCTCTCCCCCTCTTGTCTAAAGTAAAGGTAAAACATATAATATTACATTTTTTCTCTCTCTGTTCTATAAATAGGAAAACCATATCTTGTATTAAAAACTTTTTGGCTCTTCTCCTTAGACCCTTTTTTTGTAGGGGGAACTCTCTCCCCCTCTTGTTGTAACATCTACTTCCAGTTTTCCTCAGATGAGCAAGTCGTTGTGCACTCTCTCCTCTCCCTCTCTCTATCTCTCTCTACCAATCCCTCGTGGTTTCTATCGTTCCATTCCTTGGGCACGCCTCACAAGACTAATTTGATGTTTAAACACAAAATACTAACTTTAAGAAATAAATTTTAATTAGTAGACTTCAATGAGAAAACGATTTTATTGTGATCCTTCTCATTCCTACTCTCTTTCAAGTCCCACACATGCACTTCTATAATTAATCGTTTGGGTTTAATATTTTTAATGATAGTCTTTGATAGATGTTCGTGTGCAACATCACCATAGTAGAGTTTCTTCCTAACCTCACAATAGTAGCTAAACTTGCCACTTTTTTCTATGTCTGGCATGTGGAGTTAAGCCACCAATATATGAGAGATTATTCCATCACGACACTGATGCAAATTTGCGTCCGGAGTCCACTTGCTACGTGACAAGTTGGTCCCACTGTAATACGTTGATTTGGTAGGTTTTATAGAGGAGTGGGGCCCACTTGCCATGTGGCACATGCCCACTGGACTCTGAATGCAACTTTTGCGTCCGATGTTCTGATGGATCAATTTTTCCCAGTATAGAGAGTGTTCTTCATGCTCCTGCAATTATAAGCCAGATTTTATTTCTTATGCTATTACGATTTCATATACAATATTATTGTACACTATTGTATAACATGTATACATCAACATACAAAATTATTGTACATGTAGTCCAAATGCATCTAGAATTCGCACATAATGAATTTTACCATTTTTAAATTCATTATTTCATTTGATTATCATGCTCTTAATTGGTCTATTTTGTGGTGTTTGATGAATTATGTGTGGTAGCAAGTTTAATTCTTCATAAATTTGTTCTTAGATATTCACTAAATACTTAAAGTGATTAGTTTTAGTAATTACTCTATTAAGTAATAATCATGTTTTTTTCATTATTTTCCTTCACACCAAATGGCTTATAATGCATCAATATGGACACAAAAACAAACCACTAAACAGGGCCTATTTATAATAAAAATTTTAAACTATAGGATACAAATATACATTTACCATGATATAATAATTTTCTTGAAAATTAATACAATAAAATAGATAGCTTTATAAACTAAATAATTACAAAAGGAAGTCATATAATAATACATTTTTTAATTACTCATAAATATAGATTTAGACTTATTAATCTATTAAAACTAATTAAAGAAAAATAATAATTTGTTATTAAAGATTAATGAAGTTCTAAATTAAAAATTGATTCTTTTATAAAAGATAATATATGAATAGTAGAAATAATTTATAAAATAAATCAAACTAATTAATCATAATTGGATTTAAGATACAATTTAGCTATTTTGATAATATATTTTAATATAAAGGACACATGATTGAACTTTAAAGTTATGCAATATGTTTTTAAAGTTGAAATTTATTATTTATGACAAGTGCCACATAAACATGTTAGTTTTTGTTTTTCTTTCTTCTTGATGGAACTAATAAATAGTGTTTTTAGCAACTATTGGTCTAGCTTCAATTAAATAGATGTGTCTAACAGAACATGCTTAATTTTTGAAGAGAAAATATTAGGTGCGTGCAATGCACCTACAAACATCGTATAAGAGGAGAACACGCCTGTATACACACTCGCTCCTCTTATTTGTTGTTCATACATGTGTTGCTCACACCTAATATTTTCTCCATTATTGAGGAGAATCCATATATCATAAGTGACTACAAATCATTTATTTACATAAACATGTTTCATTAAAATAAAGAAAATCCAATCCACTTTAAAAAAAATATAAGCACAAATGCCATCAATTAACTATAAGAATCTTTAAGATGTATTTGTTTCCGTTCATTTTTCTCTTTTTTTATTTTAAAAGGAGTCGTCAGCTTGTCAATCGTCGTATACTTCCCCCATTTGAATAAATCTCCCTCCCGAACCATATAAATGATTCGAAGTGGAGAGAAATTGAATACAAAGGGACATACGACAAAGTGACAAACAAGAGAAAAAGTAAAACGTGGAGAGTCTACGTGCGGTAAACCTCGCAAGGATATGTTAAGAATGTCCGCCCAAACAAGATCGGGTAGATGCACCTTAAACCAATATCCGCGAAAGAAGTATCTACATAGACTACCCATAACCAGAGATTCAGGTGTATGTACCTGTTCTGGGGTCAAGAGCACTCCCAGAGGAACGTGTTATTACTGGTTAATTACATCTTGGGGGATACCCAAGAATACTCTCGATAAAAAGAGTTTCGCTTCATATTATCATAGACCTGGGGTATAGGAAATCAAATGAAGGTTATTGCGTGTGGGAACAGTCTCAATGCTTTAAAGCTCACGCTAAACAATCAAGCAGAGAGTGAGTCTCTCACATCTCGCAATGGGTAGCGGCTCATCGACACATGGGGCCCACGGAATAACCTAAATCATCTTAACGGGGATCTCCCAATACGTCAAAGCACATCCGGGCCAAAGGGCAGAGGACAAATTGTCGTATCCCAAATGGGCGGCAGCTCATCGGCATCGGGCCGTCAAGGTGATATCAACGAGGTCAATGAGCGACATGGCTCAAAGGGGCTCAACAAAAAGGAAGGTAGAGTGAACCTAAAATGTAGAGGTAATTAGGTCGGGGTACCACGGACCCGTCATACACAGCTACTAGGACCCTAAGTCTACCTGGTCGTGAAGGTAGTCGACCCAACACGTCCTGAAATCCCCGATCAGCAATCCGTGAATTGCATCATCCACGGGAACCTCGGTAGCCCTAAGGTCAAAGAAAAGAAACTCTATCCTATGACTACAAGCTGGAGCTCCAAGAAGTGGGACTTATACCTGCCGAAGTAGCAAGAATGCCTCAGGAAAGAAGAGAAAGTGGAGTTTCAGCTACAAAGCTGGAAACGCTCCAAACAAAAGGACTTACACCTCATCTGGGCCGGGGAGCCTTCTAACACCCTAGGAGCACTAGACAACCACATATATGAAGGTATGTTGGGTCAGTCAGGTTGGAAAAGTACAGGGACTCCTCCTCGGGACATGCAAATATGAATGCAGTTATCTGGAATGATCCTAAGTATTGTGGAGACCCTTTTAATATATGCAGGAAAGTAAAAGTTGCAATTTTTAGATCCTGAATATTTTAATCCTAAATTTTAATTATCTTAATATTTTATTTAGGATTTTGTAGAAAATTACAATTTTAGGGTCCTTAATGAGCCTATGCTGTATCGTGAAATCCCAGATAAAACACAGAAAGAAAACAAAGAAAAACACATGCAAGTGCAGACATGCAACATGATGTAAAGAATAAAGCAAAGCAAGTCAAACAAAAATAATAAACAGGTCGGTGCCGCTTATCCCTGAAAAGAAAAGGGCGGTCGGACTCCGCATATACATCCTCGGTCCTAATTCTATACATTAATATAAAATGCAGAATTAAGATACGAGGCACGAGCATCTACTCCTGGTCCCCTCCACGTGGTTTCTGTGCTAACGACTCGGAACCCGTGCCCGTATCTTATTTCTGCTACATGACTCTCCTAGACTCTAAAAAAAAATACATAGAGAAAAGAAAAAACTCAATCCTGCATGGAAACAAGTGTCAGCGGGAAAATCACATGCACATAACGTATCATGAGCCATGTCTTAAAAGTGGGGGGAGCTAATAGCACCTGCAAGCAAAATGGTTAGAAGTCATTACTTGCTCCCCCCATAGCGGTACCTGTGTGTGTATAAAAATAGACATGACACCCTGCAGAAGAACACCCTAACACACTACCACACATATGCAGTATGCAGTCACACCACAAGCACAATGCAAAAGAAAAATGTCTGACTAGGGCAACCAATCCAACAGAGAACAATAGTCAGACATCAAAAGGACTACCTAGCACCCTAAATCCTAGCCTAGCACACCATCTAACGAAAAGTGCATCAAGCTATTATCTATGTCGGGGGTAAGTCTAGGCATAGTATGACTTTGACGGGGTCGTCATACCGGCCCCATCCTAAAGATCCAAAGGATCTAAAGGGTGTCACGAAGAATGGTTACACGAATTAGATCTATTAGATCTTTAGCACAGTCATACTCGTGTCAATCCCGGTGACTTAACTCGCATAGCTCATTGGGATCAACCCAACAAGCAATGCTCGTTAAGGCATCGCGACCAACACAGAGTCACTCTCCTAACGAACCTGACTCGATATCCATGCAAACATGCAAATGCAAATGCTAATGCAGTCAAATCGAAACATATAAGTAGTGATAAACATTATTGTTTTATATGCAAAAAAAAAACAATAATTTTGGCATATAAAAAGAAATATAACCAAAATATACCTTCGCGAGAGAGGTTGCTCATTGACGGCGAAAAAGGGGAACTCACGAGGTAAAAGAAACACGCGCCTTCTCAAACAACGACAACGCTCGCTGTCCGGCGACGTCGAAGTGCTCAGGTGAAGTATCCGGCCGCCGGAAAGGTGAAATGGCAAGGTGGAGGAGTTGGCCGAGAAAAAGAAGAAGAAGAAGAAAAAGAAAAAAAAATAATAAAAAAATTGGAAGAAGGTGAAGAAGAAGAAGAAATAAGAGAAGAAGAAAGAGAGAAATAAAAATAAAAATAAAAATAAAAATAAAAATAAAAAAATTTCGGAAGAAGGGAAAAAAGAAGAAAAGAAGAAGAAGAAGAAGATAATGAAGAAGAAGGAGAAGAATTAGAAGAAGAAGAAGAAGAAGAAGGAGGAGGAGGAGGAAGAAGAAGAGGAAGAAATAAAAGAAGAAGAAGAAAAATTGGGAGAAGAAGAAGAAGAAGAAGAAGAAATAAAAGAAGAAGAAGAATACGGGCTTCGCCGGCGAGGAGAAGGTCGGCGGTTTCGCGCGAACGCCAAGGGGAGCGGGGTTTCGCCGTGGGTCACGATTCACAGGAGAGGGAGCGGGTGTTATTTTTTTTTTAGCCCCGAGAGAGAAACTTTCTTTTGCATATATATAT